TAATTTTTTAAAATTTATATCATTATCATTTCTTTAATTAAAAAAATTATAAAACATAAATTATTTATTAAGATTCGAACTCAAAATTACATATTAAACTAAAATAATATCTATTGATTGATTTATATGACTTGTCTTTGGGTTACGATTGATTCATGTGTCTAATAATAAATAATATATAACATGATTTTTTAATTTTCTCTCTTCTCTTTCCAAAATTAACTTGAAAAGACCTTAAAGTTAAAATTTAAATTTATTTAATAATTTTAAAAAATTTTAATTTTAAAAGTTATGTTTAAGTTTAATTTTCTTTGAACGGTGTGTTCTTAGGTCTCGGCACATAAATAAAGTAGAAAATATAAACCTAGAAGAAAAAACTTCTAAAATCAATTGTCGTTTAATTTGATAAAAGTTTTTGTTTTAAATTACAAAAATGAAATCTTATTTTTTATTTTTTAATATTTTTAAGTTTATATAAAAACAGTAAAACTAATAAAAAAAACTTTAAATGTTTCTTAAATAAATCTTTTTTTGGAAATGAAAATAAGATAAAATAGACAAGTTTATAATTAAAAAGTAAAATAAAACATTATTTTCTAAGCCAACCAGTCTCTTACTTTTTCTAAAAAATTAAAATTTTGTAAAAAAATACTAACAACACACTCTTTATAATATATTCGTAATTATTAATTATAATTAATTAAAGTTACAAATGTATCACGTGTCTTACTTTTTATCATTTTTAATTTAATATTTTTTATTATATTTTTTAATTTTTAATAAATTTTAACTAATAATTAAAAGTGTGTTAAAAAAATTATTTTAAAAACTGTATTGCTAACCTTCTTCAAAACTTCTAATTCAACATTTTTCAAAAACTATTTTTCAAGTTTTTTTTATTAAAATAATTACCCTTTAAAATTGTTTTCTTAAAATCTTGTTTGTCCTAACTTCTCTTTTGTTGAGGGTGAAAAATATTTTAAAATAAATTGAGTCAAATACTACCTAAGAATCGGTAAACACTTAAAGAATTCATATTTAATTAATCAGAAATACTGACAAAATAATAATCAAATCGTTCATTAATTAAAAGTAGCACTTTGAGCATATACATCCTTAAGGACAAATTAATGGAGTGAGAATGATGATATATTTTGCACTGGTTTGTCATGTTATCCACTACAAACGACAATGAGAAGATTGTTGACCATGATAATTCGAAGGAGACTTTGTATTATCTAATTGAAACTATTCGTGGAGTTAGCAGATTAATCATATTTTCAAAGAAAGAAAAACATCTCAAACATTAAAATTGTTTGGATGGCAACTTAATCATACAATCAACAATAGATTAATAATGTTCATGGACCACTGAATAGTTTTACAAATTAATATGATTATGCATTCCTCATTTCTTTTGGACATTACAATAATTCGTAATAAAATAGATTTAAATCTTCAATAAATCCGAAACGTCATGCCTTATTGGATGAGAAAACGAAATGCATTATTTGTCTTCATTACTGTTTCCCTGAATTCGAGAAATTGACTTTTATAATAAACTTATAATTACGTCTATTTATAAAATAACACTAAATTAACTAAAGTTGACAAAGTAAATTGGATTTGAGATCTTAAACCCTTTGTTAATTATCATTGAAATTTCAATCCTTATTCACAAAATCTTTGTACTATACTTGAACAAGAGACTTCAGCTAATTTCCTTGTCAAACTTTTGTAAAAGTTCGTACCTCACTCGTGATATTGGTTTTATAATAAACTTATATATAGGATAAAGTAAATTAATCTTATTTGTTTAGTTATTATATAACCATGTTTTCTAATTAGCAAAATGTTTGTCTACATATATAATTTTCCAAGTTGTCTTCTTGAAACAAAAATGTTTAATTTGTTTGGCTAAATAGAATCCAATCCAAGAAAACAAGAATATTGATTAAAAGGAAATAGAAATATTGTTTTTTCAAATTATTTCAACGACTCCATTACCCCAAACTTGTTCGATGTTGTTCTCATTTTGGGTCTTAAACTCACCAGTTTCTCCAACGTTCCTTCAGCGGAACCCAAAAATATTCTGAACCCGATATTAGTGATGACCATTTGATTTCCAAAAATTGGGTCTCCTCCTTAGTAGTTGTTTTCAATAAAAGAAAAGGTGATGTTGGCTATCAGATTTTATACCTATCCTCTATCAGGTCCCAAAATCTATTCTTTTACAACGATTTAAATACATACACAATAGTTATAAAATTAAGGATCAAAATTATTACTTACGTAAATATAAAAATAAATATGACTAATTTTTAAAACATAAATATAAAAACAAGTACTGTATTCACAGTCCATGTTCATTTTCATTCCTAAACCGACTTAAATTCTACTTCCAATCAACCCAATTGCTACAGCTTTGGCAGAAAAGATTGTCAATCCATCATCATGATAAGTAAATTAACGTGCAATACTATTCTGATAAAACACTTAAAACCCAAATTTCATGAACCTTATATACTTAAGCTAGATTCATTAAATTGAATAATTATGCAAAATTGACAAAACATAGTAACAACATGTGAAGGAATTAGAAAGAAAAATAATAGGAAAAAAAAAACAAAAAGCATGAAATTTTGAGGTAGGGATTCCCAAAATTCCATCAAGTTTTGATTTCAAATGGAAAGACAGAGAAGAAAATTGATTGCAAAATAGGAAAGATATGTCCCAGTTAAAAAAGGTTTTGTGTTATTAAAAATAGAAAACTCTTTTTTAAAATGGAAATAAAAATGCTCTAATTTTTCTTTTGTTGCAAATGACAGAGGTAGTGAATAGAAAAGGTTTAAAACATTATATGTAATGTAATGTATAAGAGTGAAACGATGACTATGGAACTTGTAGTTAGAAGAAATAAGAGGGTTGAGAAGAAAAATCAAAGTGACGATTCAATTTGATAAATATTAAGAATTTAAAGCCCGTGCATGGGTCAGGGAAGTACCGTAGCTAGTGGGCTTCAAGAAAGCAACAAGTTTGAACTGATACAACTGATGGGTTTAGTAAAGAGACTACACGTCCAATTAATTAATTTAAAACTTAAAATAAAATAGTATAAGGTAGACTATAATTTTCATTCCTATAATATATGCATTCAAGATTATATTCATCTATAGTGTAAGAATAACATCATAAACTTTATCATTTGCTCTAGCAATCACTAAAAGTAAAGTATCTATAAGCTACAAAAGTGAGGATATAACAACTGACACCTTGTATATAACTTGAATTCTTAAATGTATGAATGTGTATAATTCATTATGAATAATTCAAAATTCATGAGATTATTCCTAAATCTCATACCATAATAAGTTAGATATATGTTTGAAACGTAATAATAATTGTTGATGGAAAGATGAAAATATAAAGGAATTGAAACATTTATGTCTTGTTTAGTGTGATTATTGTTGGTTTTAAGTTTTAAAATTTTTACAAATTAAAATTACTTTTTATTTTTAATTCTTTGTAATATTAAATTTTCAAAATTTAAATTTAAATTACTCAAATTACATTGCACTCTTTAAATCAAGCTTGTTTAATTCTAAAAGTGACAATGATGATAATTAAGAATTAGAAAAGAAGATCATAGTAAAATTTATAATAATAAAGATGATTATAGAACGTGGTGGTCATAATAATAGTAATAATACATATTTCAAAATATATAAAAGTTGAATAATTTTTTTGCTATTAATAGTTAAATGCTAAAATTACATGCTTTGGTAAGTTAAGATGAAACAATTTTAAAGTTGATTCAATTCCATTCCGTTTCAGATGAGCATGGAATATATATTTTAAAATTTACATCAAAAATCTAAAAACTTGCAACTACTTGAAACACGCTTGAAGAAAATTAATTTGTACAAATTAATATTTTAAGTTGTGTTTGGATATAATAATTCAAATTTAATACATTATATATAATTAGATAGAAACAAAAAATTATTTTAAAATATTTTAAAATTTTAATTAAATAATTTTTATCTCAAATAGAAATTTTAAATAGTTTATTTTAAAAAATTAAATTTTTTTATTATGTTTAACTTTTTTATTTATCATTCATAACTTTTTCTATATTTAACTTTGATTTTAAGCATATCTTATTATTAATTTCATATTTTTAAAAATTATTGTCCAAAGACAATCTTAGAGACTAAATTTATACAAGTTATCACTTCTATACAGAAAAAAAAAAGACAAAATTACTAAAATATGATATTTTGAGAAAAATTACAAAAATATAAAATTTTATTAAAAAGCTCCATTGATAAAAAAATCGCAAGCAGCATTTTTTTGTATTTTAAACATTTTTTATTAATTTTTAAAAATTATCACTAACGATTTTAATTTAAAAAATATTTTTATTATATTTTAAAAAAATCTTGACCGGTAAGTTTTAATTTTTTTATAATATTTTAGTATATTTTTTAAAAAATTACAAAGTACAAATTTTGAAACTTTATAAATTCTTATCGTTCCATCGTATTTATACGAAAAATTATTCCTCGTGATTTTTAAACTTCGTATTTTCATAATTTTTTTAAAAAATTATATTTTGATATAATATTTAAATTATATATATAAATAAATAATCCTTCACCGTGATTCTTGCTTTGCTTCTAATATAGAACTTTCCTATAATCACCTGTCTTCTTCCAATTTTGGTCAAAAGAAATTGGCTTGAAATAAAAGCTCTCTCTCTTAGCCAAACCACATGAATCGCTCGCCCATTCTATTCTATGTTCCGCTAAACTAATTTACTCAATATTTCGCTGTTGTGAGTTGTTAGCTTTATTAAACATGACACCTACTAGAAGCCCTTTTTACATTTATAATCCAAAACTTTTAACCATAAGTCTATGTTCAAACATCGAATGGCACGAAAAAAGTTTTAATCTTTCTTCAAGGGGTCATTGCTGGGTGCCCAGCTTGTTCCAAAGATGAATAATGGATACAATGTTGAGCACAATGCTTTGGCAACCCTTGAAGAAATGAGAGGCCCTCCAACTAGCTCTGTTGTTTGTCCTCAGCCAAGGCGAGTTGTTGTTTCTCCCAACATGCCCACAAGGCCATTTACATGGATATTTTGCCAACAAGGTGAAGAACCAAATTCAAATGCAGGGTTGGAACTTCTTGACATCATTTCCAATATAAGTTATAGCTATTATGAACAACATAACACAAATCAAGAAGCTTCATCACCCCCATTTTTTCTTGGTTCTCCTCCTGTAAGAACATCTAACCCTTTGATCCAAGATGCACAATTTGGACATGAAAAACATACCCCTCAATCAAGATCTCCAATTTCATCACCCCCTAGTTTATCTTCTCCATCTTCTGCATCCTCACAAGGTTTGTTTTCTCCATCTTCCTCATTGAGGAAAGGAGGGTGTGTTAGAATGAAATTTGGAATTAAATCCACTGCCGTTAGAGTGGTAGGATTTGACTGCCACGTTCCAGCTTTTGGTTAATCTCGTTTCAAAGGAGTGTACATAGGAGACAAATGACACATCTTATTGTTGACAATGGATCAACGACCGACATAAATGTCAGAATTGAGGATTTTTGTTGGTGTTGTATATATCAAATGGTTTTGTAACGATGATCATTCTCTTTAATTTTTTTTCATGTATGGTATAAAATGATGGAAGGAAACATGGGGAGAAATGAATATTGTAATAAATGTAGACATAATGCATATATTGATATAGTGATGCTCATCACTTTATTTCCCTTAAATTCTTAATAGTCATAATAAAATGTTGATTATTATTGTCTTGTTAATTGCATGTGTCTTGTTTCTCAATTTCATTCTGACATCATTTATAATATTTTAAAAAAAAACATAAATTTCATTGTTCTAACCATATTTAATGAAAGGCTAAGCCTAATGGCCATAGATTAATTACTAATATTTAAAAAAAAAATCAGTTGTTATGCTTTTTGTTTAAGAAGGGATTTAAAAGTGATTTATCGGTTGCTAAATGCTAGACACACAAAAATTAATGAAATTCATTTTTTAATTATGAATAAAAGTTAAGAATTTAAAGAAAATGGCATTCTTATTTTTCTCTAATTACTTTTTGAGAAACTTGCTCAAACTTAGCCTATATAAAATTTATGATTGTCTGCACTTGTTATTTTAGTTTAAAATTCTTCCTCTGCCGCTTTTTTTTTATTATTTCAAATTCCTATTCTTTTTAATTTCGTACAATTTTTTTCTTGTTTGGAACTTTATCCTAAGACTAGTTATTTTACTAATCCAGTTGGTAATAAAGAAAATTTATTGATTGTAAAAACATAAAAGACAAATTCAAGTAAAGAAAGAGCTAAAAAATAAGAGCATATTTAATTTCTGTTTTAAAAAAATTATTTTTAAAAATAAAATATAATACAAAATAAACAGAAATCATTTATCATTTTAATATTTTTAATATTTTTGATGGTGCATTAATTGGCTTTGAATTCGAAAATGCACCTTAAACTGGAACAACTTTTTTTAAAATTAATTCACGTGCTCTACCAGTAGTAAATTAATACATTTATCATTTTACATAAATTAATTATATATGTTTTTACACAAATAAAAAGGATATAAAAATGTTAGAACACCTGGGAAAATTTAATTAATTACTAAACTATTTTCTAATTTAACAATAATTTTTAATTTAACTTTATCACTTTTACATCTATTATATTTTAATATGTATATTTTTTAATTTTAATATAGTTAATAATATTAATTTGAATATAAAATAAATATATAATGATAAGAAGTTTATGATTATTTACTTTGTATGCTAAAAGCAAAATGAAATATCAATATTATATTAATATATCTTTTAATATTCTTATTCAATTATTTAATAATCACACTATATTATTATGTTTTAATTACTTATTACAATCGGTTCACATAACATAATTTTAATATTGAAATGAAAATATAGTGCCCAATATATTTGGTTCCTAACATTATTAACAAAGACAAAGGCCCAAAAATCTACTTACACCTCACTAAAAAATTCAAAATGGAAGAGATATAAAGATATATAGTCAAATTTGTTAATGGGCTAATTATTGTTCACTAATCAATCTTATTGGCTGGCAATGGAGCTCTAATACGTTATATATCAGGTAGTGACTAACTAAATATGATTATAGTTGTTTTTGGGTGGCTCCGAACAATCCAAAACAGAATATTTTCTTAGCTCTTCAAAATTCCATTTTAGTTGTCTCTTATTTAACAATACTCATAATTTGATTCCTCTTAACTCTTTAAAATCCCAATTTAAATTAAATGCCAACACACTCCAGCACGTCAAAATTTATCACTCAAAATTATATGCCAATTTTGGGGCTCAAATTTTTCCACTCAAACAAACACACCAACATGGTCATGAACATTCACAATTTAAGCATGAACAAAATCACATGAACATTAAAGCACAAAGAGGGACAAGGAGAGAAGGAACTTACAGTGGCACAAGCAGCAGTATCTGACAGTGGCGTGATGGGGCATGCAGCAGCAACTGACAGTGACACGTGATGGCACGAGCAACAGTGCAGCACACTATAGAAAGCACGTGGTTGGGGTGTGATTCTGATGAAATGAAAATGCAAGAAAGCAAAAGCACAAATTTTTTGGGCATGAAAAGCAGAAGCTGAAATAACACGCGTTTTGAGGAAAGACCATGAAAGCCTTTGTTGCGGTTACAAAGAAGGGTTGTAGAAATTAACCTTGCGTTTGTCGTTAACAAATAAACCACAGAGAATGGTGCAATCAATTACTACTTGTGGTTAAAAGATGAAACTGCAGAGAATTGTACCATTTCTCTTTCTCTTATCCTATTAAACTGCAAACCAAAATCATTTTACCTTTTCTCTAAGGTTCAATATTCAAACCGCAAACATAAATCAAATTCATTATGGTTATAATTAAAAACTAATAATAGTTAGGTGTAAAGATTTCTCATTTATGGTGTAGTGATATTTTTATGATTTTTCGCATGAGGAGCTATTGATTTAAGAAAAGGAACTATAGGCTTTTGAAAGTTATGACGTTGAGGCTATGTGTTTGTATTGATCTATAAACTGTTTTGATGTGAAAATAAATACTTGTTGCTTAATTTTGTGATTTGAAATGTGTAAATAGTTATACACTAGGAGTTTACATGTTTTTAACGCACCATATTATATCATTTTGAGAATATAATAATGTTTATATGATAAAAAAAAATATGAATCTTATGATACAAAACAATGATTTAACTGTGAATCTTACTTAATATTATTCATAAAATATTTTTAAATAACTATTAATATTAGAATAATGCAACGCATTAATCATTAAGTTTTCATACTGATATACATTAAAGGCAAGAATGTATCAAATCAATTTATCATAAATTTTTTCCTTGACAATACTTATCAAAAGAAAGTTACATGATCGTTGTGAGTATTAAAAACTATTTTTTAATGTGACAATAATGTAATGAAGTTCATTGAGCAAAAGTCTATCGTCAATATATGATGAGTTTTATATTTTAAACTTATTCATCAGTATCTATAATATAAAAATAATTTCATAATTAAATATAAAGTAAAATATGTGAAAAAATGTGAGTATTCTATTGAAATGTATTTCTCTTATGTAATAATAGTGATATTTAATTATGAGCCTCTTAATAGAGTCATAGAATGATATATATGGCATATTTAGTAAAATGAATATTATATATTTATTTTTTAAATTTTTTACTCACATATCAAGAAAAATAAATTGAACTATGCAAGCATGACATGTTATGTCTTGTGCTCAATTAAACTTTCAAACAAAGAGATTGTTCATATAAATTATCACATTAAAAAATGTTTTTAATTTAATAATATTTTTTTATATTTAGGTAATAGTGATGTATTATTATTATATATCACTGACCTAGTGTTACACTCCAGTAAAAAATAGTTATATTTTCCCCTACACAAGTATAGTATAGGGTATAAACTAAGTCGTCTTTCAAAATCTTTCCTCATTTATAAATCCATTAGCATTATACTTTCTCTTTGCATTGGTGAGTTTTTAATTTGTATGTTTCAATGATTTTCTCTTTCAACTTTTCTATCGACTTTATCTACATATATTTTTAGCTTAAACTTTGCAATTACAAAAAAGAAACAAATCATCGTATCACATTATTATTTTGCTACTTAACAATATTGATCGCAAGAAAATCATCGAAAAATCCAAGTAACCCTTACAGACACAGACACAAACGATTCAAGAAACTATACACGTAGAGGAAAATTTTTTTTATAGAATATAAATAAGTTAATGGAAGTCAACAGTTAGTATTTCTTTTCTAAGTATCATTTCTACAGCTACTAATTACATGTAACCTTATTTACATTGAAATAATTTTTAACATTTACATATAACTTTATTATCTCTATTTTTTTATCACCTTGCATCATTTTTTTTTTAATTTGTCTTCTGTACCTTCATTTATATTCTATATATGAAGTGCACATGTTTTTTAATCTTAGGTGAATGTGGTGATGGACTGAAGTTGTATGAAGATTTATTTGATAGTACTGAGGTTTCAAAACTTGTTTAATTGGTCACTGATATGAGGGCTAGAAAATGGGAACAATTTCGAGGTATGTATAATGTGTGGTTGAAGATTTTATCACTAGTCCTTTTGTTTACTTTCTTTGACCAAATTGGAAGAATAAGAACAACCCTAACCCAAAGAAAGACAATTGTAACAATTTTTTCTTAAAATATCTCATCAAGATGCCATAGAACAACAAAGAAGGCATATATATATATATATATATAACCACAGTATTTTACCTGCCAGAACCTTTAAACTTAATTGACATTTTAAGCTCCAAGCTCTATAGAGTGTAAACATGTATAGTTTAACCCAAAATGAATTTTAATAATGCAACATACATGGTTCTATTTTCAGTTGTTCATTTTATTGTTCTTGAAGTAGTTTCATCAATAACAGAGATAGGCCTCTTTTATCTTTTAATTTTCAAGTAGGCCATCGCCAACTTGATTAGGTGGGATAGATCCTAGGTGGATTGGGTTCAAAATTGGTGGTGGTACCTGATTACTTTTCTGGGCCATGGTTCATGGTATTGATGATTTCAGGACTTTTAATTTGGTAAGATGATTGTCTCTCACTTACGATTAATAAGTTTGTCTGTTGGCAAAACAATGAATTCTTTGGTTACAATGGTATTAAAACGACAGGACTACATCTGCAAAATTCATCCAATGATTTGTTAGCATATGAGCTTAATTATATGCCCACTATTGACAAAGATAGTTCTTGTTCAATGATTATATACTTTAATCGCTCCTTGCAGGGGCATTGACTTATCTAGATGGACAGAACTTCGAGAAGGATGAGGAAAAGCAGATGATTTGGAAAATTTTGTTCAACGTGTACATGGAATC